GATCTCCATCTAACAAATGAGTAAACTAAAGCTCACAAAGGTCACACAGTAGCTAAATCATGGGCTCAGAATTCAAACCCAGTCTGATCCCAGAGGCCACTGCATCGCCGTGGCAACATTGCTTCCAAGAGTGAGGGAGGGGTGCTTTAGACCTTGGAAAACTGGGATGCTGGGGAAGATGGATGAATAGGGAACTGGGCTTAGGACACTGGAGATCAAAGGTAGAGAAGTGGGCGAGGATTGGTGGTTACTGGGGGTGGAGCTATTGGCAGTGGTTACCGGTTGCAGGGGATGGGGAAGAACAGGTGGAACTTCAAACCTCCAGGGCGGGACTAGGTGGGGGGGTCCAAGCTCAGCAGTCTGAATGCTTGGTAGCTGGCTAGGAGCTGGGTACCCTAGCTTGGGTGTTGGGGGCTACGTTTTTAGAGTTGGTGGTGAATGGGTAGAGAGATTTTTTCTTTTGAGACGAAGTCTCGCTTTTGTCTCCCAGCTGGAGTGCGATGGTGCAATCTCGGTTCACTGCAACTTCTGCCTCCCGGGTTCAAGCCATTCTCCTGCCTCAGACTCCTGAGTAGCTGGGATTACAGGCATGTGCCACCATGCCCAGCTAAATTTGTATTTTTAGTAGAGACAGGGTTTCTCCATGCTGGTGAGGCTACTCTCAAACTCCCAACCTCAGGTGATCCACCCGCCTCAGCCTCCCAAAGTGCTGGGATTACAGGCATGGGCCACCATGCCCGGCTAATTTTTGTATCTTTAGTAGAGACAGGGTTTCACCATGATGGCCAGGCTGGTCTCGAACTCCTGGCTGAGAGGTTTTTTCTGATGGCAGCCAGATAGGGTTGGGGTCATGGGAGTTGGAGGCTGGCATGTGAGTTGAGATGGAGGCAAGGGTAGAACAGGCCAGAGATAGGCTCTAATCTGAACGTTGGCCGGCTCCAACCACCACCCATTCATCCGCCGTCAACTCCGGGCTGCCTATGGCGTATACACCACCACTCATCTACACGGATGCCCGGGGCCACCTCCCTGCTCCACCAGAAAACTACTACTGTGTGGCCTCAGGCAAGAGACTTCACCTCTTTGGGCCTCAGTTTCCTCACCCGTAAAACAGGGGAATGACAGCACATACCTCACAGGTTAAGTGAATAAACTCACAGAAAGCACTTCGGTGCCTGTCATACAGAACCCGTAAGAAGAACTATGTTAAGAGTCAGGCGTGTCTGGGTGCAGTGACTCACGCCTGTAATCCCAGCACTTTGGGAAGCCGAGGCGGGCAGATCACAAGGTCAGGAGTTTGAAACCAGACTGACCAACATGGTGAAACCCC